GGTATAAGCAAGCCATATGGTAACAAATACTCCAGATACAACATTTGGTTTGCATAATACGTATTCTATACATACTGTCTTGAGGACCAGCAAGTGCATTCCTCGCCTGCATTGTAATTACATAATGCCTTACTTCGCAACCCCCCCCCCCAACCCGTTGGCCCACCATTTTCTCTCTCCGCCCATGCAATATTTGCCCCACGTGCCAATTTCTCATTCCAGTAAACAAACATTCCCTAAATGGAGGAGAAAACAGATAACTTTCCATTTTCTTGTGATATCCTAATTTTTTTAATTATTTTTTTCCCTCTTTTTGTTTTTGCTCCTCGGAATTTCACCAGCCCTCATTCCTTCCTCGGCCCTGTCCACTTCTCTATCTGGCCCTAACGGAGTTAATTTGTCTCTCGCCGGTGACATGCTAACTTTGTCAACCCACGAAATGCTTCCTGGGGAATCTTGATCAATTCCAAACTGTCTTATTGTAATCGATTACTTATTGCTTGTTTTGTCCAATGTTGGGGGAGGGGGGTGCTCGTATTTATCAGTAGATGTCAGGAAAACGCGATAACAGAAGAGAAAAAAAAGGGCGGGGGGGGGGGAATCTCACGGACATGAAAATGACAAGAGGATATTTTGTATGACACTGACGAAAATTGGTGATGGCAGTGACGCGATAGAATCTGATCGTTACAAAAACGGATACGCTAGTTGTCCGGTATGTTCAAATGTTTCTGAATCGGTAGTGAGATGTCCCGGCCTGGTCCCTTACTTATTGCTTGTTTTGTCCAATGTTGGGGGAGGGGGGTGCTCGTATTTATCAGTAGATGTCAGGAAAACGCGATAACAGAAGAGAAAAAAAAGGGCGGGGGGGGGGGGAATCTCACGGACATGAAAATGACAAGAGGATATTTTGTATGACACTGACGAAAATTGGTGATGGCAGTGACGCGATAGAATCTGATCGTTACAAAAACGGATACGCTAGTTGTTCGGTATGTTCAAATGTTTCTGAATCGTTAGTGAGATGTCCCGGCCTGGTCCCGACGTTGTGAGGCGTCGCTGCTATGTGGGGCGTCGCTGCTATGTGAGGCGTCCCTGCTTAGTGAGTCGTCACTACTATGTGAGGCGTCACATCTATGTGAGACGTCCCTGCTTAGTGAGGCGTCCCTGCAATGTAAGGCGTCACTGCTATGTGAGGCGTCCCTGCCTAGTGAGTCGTCACTACCATGTGAGGCGTCGCTGCTATGTGGGGCGTCTCTGCTTTGTGAGACGTCCCTGCAATGTGAGGCATCACTGCTATGTGCGGCGTCCCTGTTTTTTGAGGCTCCCTGGCTCTGTGGGGTGCCCCTCCACCATTGGCTGACCCATTGGCTGGACCTGACGACCATCCCGGCTAAACTCGTGTAGTCTTCGTATCTGTCTGTGGCAGAGCTGCTTGCCACCATGCCAGTGTGTCTTGCTGCAGTCCTAGGGGTCAGTTGTGTGACAGTCCTGCTCAGTCTGTTGCGCCTCTCCTTGACCATTTCCTGCACTATGCGGTCAGTTTCAGCACTTTTAAAATAGGCCTGTACCTGGAGAATAAGTCAACAAAAAGTCACAGCATTGGCAAAATATAGTCTCGGCACTGGCAAAGTAGAGTCTCATTACTGGCAAAGTAGAGAGCACTGGCAAAGTAGAGTCTCAGGACTGGAAAAGTAGAGTCTCAGCACTGGCAAAGTAGAGTCTCAGCACTGGCAAAGTAGAATTTCAGCACTGGCAAAGTAGCGTCTCAGCACTGGCAAAGTAGACTCTGAGCACTGGCAAAGTAGAGTCTCACTACTGGCAAAGTAGAGAGCACTGACAAAGTAGAGTCTCAGCATTGGCAAAGTAGAGAGCACTGGTAAAGTAGAGTCTCTTCACTGGTAAAGTAGAGTCTCTTCACTGGTAAAGTAGAGTCTCTTCACTGGTTAAACAGGCCAGGACTAGGAGAATAATTCAAATAAAAGTCAAAAGCCCTCACTCGTTCCTTGTCCAAAAATCTTACAACATAAACCGTTACGTACATAAGTTTTCAACCGTATGCTACGTGACATTGGAGTATGGTACGTGGCATTGGAGTATGGTACGTGACATTGGAGTATGGTACATGACATTGGAGTATGGTACGTGACATTGGAGTATGCTATGTGACATTGGATTATGGTACATGAAATTGGGATATGCTACGTGACACTGGAGTATGGTACGTGACATTGGAGTATTCTACGTGACATTGGAGTATGCTACGTGACATTGGAGTATGCTACGTGACATTCGAATGTCGACCTACAACAATGAACACGTTCACCAGTGCCAATCATTAAAAAATCAACTACTATCAATTTACCTTAAGGCTGACCAGATTTTTACATTTCCTGACCAGACGAATGAGTGCAGTATCCAGGTGGTCATTGTGATTGTCAACGTCCATTTGAAATCTCACCAGACGGTGCCTGTCAAAGAACATGAAATTGCATTTCATTGAACTCGGTCTTCTTATCAACTCTGCATGCACTTTCATATTATGTGAGCACCACCATTCCACGTAACACGTGATTTCAGTCCCGTCTTACCACTTCAGCTATTGCCTTCTCTTTGACCCAATTAATTCTAGGCCAGAATATCCATGACTACAGCACGAGTCAGAGTCACGATAAAAAGGAAATATTACTACTACAGCTATTATTATGTTGTTAAAATCACAATATATAGCCAAACAGTTGGCTTCACGGAAATAGCGAAATAAAGGAAGAAAACAGTGAATGTGTGGGCATGAAGCCTTCTTCAGCGAACGAACAACAATAAAAACAATGTAAAAATTAAACTTAAAACTTAGCTGCAACTTAGTATCCGACAGGACATCAAGAAGTGCGTGATAGAACAAAAGTAGGTGGGTGTTTGAATACAGCCACAACGGGACGGAAGAAAGAACAAGTAAGCCCACGGCGATTGGTTGTAACAAGGAAGGGGACGGAGAAAAGGTTTAACAAGTGAAGGAGAACATTACATTCCTGCCATCTGGGATCAAGATCCCGTAAATGGCCCAATTGTGTTGAAAGTGACCCAGCAGCTCAGCAATATTAAACTGACAGTGTTCCTAAAATAACGGCAGTCCTCCTATACAGATCAATGGTAAGAATATAAAAGAGAGAAACTTTTCAGTTTTTCTGCCAATCAGCCCACATTTGGAGTCGCCCCTGACAACGCAGAGTGACATGAGAGCTTGATTTGTTGTGAGTTGCTGGATATCTAATTAGCCGCGCCTGTGATCTTAATGTTCAGGCATTCAATATGTGCCACGCCATGATCTTAGTGTTCGGGTATTCAATACACAACACAAGCCCTGGATCTTTACTTTGATGTGCCACGCCATGATCTTAGTTTTCGGGTATTCAATACACAACACAAGCCCTGGATTTTTACTTTGATGTGCCACGCCATGATCTTAGTGTTCGGGTATTCAATACACAACACAAGCCCTGGATCTTTACTTTGATGTGCCACGCCATGATCTTAGTGTTCAGGCATTCAATACACGACACAAGCTCTGGATCTTTACTTTGATGTGCCACGCCATGATCTTAGTGTTCAGGCATTCAATACACGACACAAGCCCTGGATCTTTACTTTGATGTGCCACGCCATGATCTTAGTGTTCAGGCATTCAATACACGACACAAGCCCTGGATCTTTACTTTGATGTGCCACGCCATGATCTTAGTGTTCAGGCATTCAATACACGACACAAGCCCTGGATCTTTACTTTGATGTGCCACGCCATGATCTTAGTGTTCAGGCATTCAATACACAACACAAGCCCTGGATCTTTACTTTGATGTGCCACGCCATAATCTTAGTGTTCAGGCATTCAATACACGACACAAGCCCTGGATCTTTACTTTTATGTGCCACGCCATGATCTTAGTGTTCGGGCATTCAATACACGACACAAGCCCTGGATCTTTACTTTGATGTGCGACGCCATGATCTTAGTGTTCAGGCATTCAATACACGACACAAGCCCTGGATCTTTACTTTGATGTGCCACGCCATGATCTTAGTGTTCAGGCATTCAATACACGACACAAGCCCTGGATCTTTGCATTAGTCAGAGGCACTTGAGCAGTTTTCATTTGTAGTGAGGATTGTAATAGCGATCTCCACCAGGCTTCGCTGGAGTTGTGATTGTCATGCATGGATCAGTCATAACTTTAGTTGTGTTGAGATTATCATAGCTGGAGTATCCAGGTCTTGTCATGTCTTTATTTGATTTGAGATTATCTTGGCTAGATTAGTCAGGTCTGTAGTTGATTTGAGATTATCCTAGCTAGACTAGTCAGGTCTTTATTTGATATTATCATGGCTGGTTAAGTCATGTCTTTATTTGCTTTGAGATTATCAAGGTTGAAGTAGTCATGTCTTTATTTGCTTTGAGATTATCAAGGCTGAAGTAGTCATGTCTTCCTTTGCTTTGAGATTGGCTAAATTAATCTTAACTGTATTGGTGTTTTTGCTTTTCATCGCCGTGCCTTTCATCGCCGTGTCAATCATGCTGTGTCAGTCATGTTGTGTCATTCATGCCGTGTCAGTCATGCCGTGTCAATCACGCTGTGTCAGTCATGCCGTGTCAATCATGCTGTGTCAGTTATGCCGTGTGAGTTATGCTGTGCCAAGCATGCTGTGTCAGTCATGTTGTGTCAGTCATGTTGTGTTCGTTGGTTATATTATAAATCAGTAGTTAGAGCCGTCTTGGTTCTTACCATCTCATTCAAGCGAATACTTCCGACCTTCTGTCCAACACAAACTCATTCACTCATCAGTCACATTTGACTTTAACTAATGCTACATTTTAATAATATTCAAAAAGGGTAAAAAAAAAAGAAAAAACTAGAGAGGGGAATCGACCACTCCTAAATGTTCGGTTTTGAGTTGGTCACAACTTCAGTTTGGGTTTGGTTGGGTCAAAACTTAAGTCTGGGTTTGGTTTGGTCACATCTCAATTCAGTTCTAATAATCATTTTGTGATAGGTTCACTTCGTACTCTGTGACGTACAAGTTTGGCTTCCGTCGTCAGCAACGTTTGAGTTCGATTCCCATCTTTAAAAAAAAAATCATAGAAACTCAATGTTATTTTTTTAAACTAGAACTAGGCGGACTGCTAACTGTGGGAACAATAGTGAGAATGATTGATTGTTCTAATGAATGATTTAAGGAATTAAAGATTGAGAGAAGGAAGGATTAAAGATTGGATACCTGAATGATTAAAGGAATGAATGATTGAAGGAATGAATGATTGAAGGAATGAATGTTTGAAGAAATACACGATTGAATGACAGACGGTTTGAAGGATGAATGATTATAGGAATGACTGATTGAACAATTGAAGGATTGAGCCTATCTTTGAGGTCCCACCTGAAATGACTACTGATGTACTGAAGAACGTCAGCGATTTGGAGGGTGGGCGTGTCAATTAAGATGAACCGCTTCCCGAACGCCAAACGAATCTTGTGGATGTGCAGGACCGGATCTAGGAGAGCGGGGACGGACAGGGCAGGGGAGACCACCGAGCCGTTGATACAGAAGTCTACTCTCATGGATGGGCAGGCTTGGCTCTGAGAGATGACGGAAATTATTGATCACTGGGTCTCGGGAAAATCAATCAATTGTTACCTCCCCCACCCAAGCCCGTGGATCATGTGGCAGCCACTTTAGGTGGCCACTTTAGATAGCCACTTTTAAGTAGCCACTTTAGATAGCCACTTTAATTAAACACTTTAAGTAGCCACCTTAGATAGCCACTTTAAGTAGCCACTTTAGATAGCCACTTTAAGTAACCACTTTAAGTAGCCACTTTAGATAGCCACTTTAGCTAGTCACTAGCAGTTTGACTCCAGAATGTCACTGATCTGTCAATAGTTTAACACTAGTAATACTAGACTTCCACAAATAGTCTTAAATAAGTCATTACACCAACCACTAGACTATCAAAACTACTCTAAAATCCATATTCTCTCTCAACAGCCTAGGCCTATAGATTCCACCACAACTCTCCCATCACACCAGCCATTCAACTGCCACAAAAACGCCGCAACGATAGAGCAAACCAGCCGTTAAGTTCCAACAAATAGTAGACAATATCACCTCTCTCCTGTAACATGCATTCCGTAACATAACTCCTTTAACATGACACTCGTAACATGACTCCTCTAACTTGACTCCTGTAACATGAGTCACGTAACATCACTCACGTAAAATGACTCTCGTTACAAGACTCCACTAACATGGCTCCTGTAACATGAGTCCCGTAACATGACCCCATAACATGAACCCCCGTAACATGACTCCCGTAACATGACCCCTGTAACATTACTTCCGTAACATCACTCCTGTAAAATGACTCTCGTTACAAGACCCCTGCAACATGACTCCTGTAACATGACCCCCGTAACACGAACCCCCGTAAAATGACTCTCGTATTATGACTCCCGTATTATGACTCCCGTAAAATGACTCCCGTAACATGACTCCTGTAACATGATTCCTGCAACATGACTCCTGTAACATGACTCCTGTAACATGACTCCTGTAACCTGACTCCTGTAGCATGACTCCTGTAGCCACGAAACAAAATACTACCAAGCCATGTTCAAATAATGCCGTGCCATTTCTGTAACCGTAAGATTTGATTGGCATCGTCAGCCAATAACCATGAGATACCCTTCACATCGCCCATGACGTCATCATAGTGGATGACTCCAATCGTCGTCCCTGTAACCCAAAGACCGTGTACCATGACCTCGGACGCCCGTTTAACATCCTATATCGTCGTCCCTATAACAAAGAGACCCCCCTACCATGATCCTTGTAACCAAATTATTTAACGACCCCTGTCGTCGTTCTTGTAATCCAGGAACCCCCTAGCATGACCCCAGTACCACAAGAGCGTGAGTCCAAACGTGTTCTAAGCTCGTGCCTGAGAGTGATCATCACTATTTGATGTCGGTGCTTAAAGGATGAAATATTGAAACAAGATTTTGTCGACAACTGTCGATCAGACTGCTGCTGGAGCGACGCTTCCATACAAACGAAATTGGACCTGAAACCAGAGGCATGGCTTGTGTACAAACACTTAGGCCTGGCTTGTATTCAAACACTTGGACCTGATAGTAGGACATGGCTTGTATTCAAACACTTGGACCTGATAGTAGGGCATGGCTTGTATACAAACACTTGGAGCTGATACCATAGGCATGGCTTGTGTACAAACACTTGGGCCTGATACCAGAGGCATGGCTTGTATACAAACATTGGACCTGATACCAGAGGCATGGCTTGTATACAAACACTTAGGCCTGGTACTAGGGCATGGCTTGTATTCAAACACTGGACCTGATACCAGAGGCATGGCTTGTATACAAACACTTAGGCCTGGTACTAGGGCATGGCTTGTATTCAAACACTGGACCTGATACCAGAGACATGGCTTGTATACAAACACTTAGGCCTGGTACTAGGGCATGGCTTGTATTCAAACACTGGACCTGATACCAGAGACATGGCTTGTATACAAACACTTGGACCTGATATTATGCCTTTCTTATAGCTTTCGCCGCTTTTCTACGGTCTTTCGGCCCCCACAAGTTTCTCATAAAGTACTACGGCCCGGCACAAAATTTTCATAAAGTATTGCGGTCCACCTTACATTTTGAGTTGTGCAGGCCTGCACTGCAACACTCATGCAACCCCCAGCCCCCCCCCCCCGCTCTCCCCCCCCCTTTCCAAACCCAAACCCTAATAACATCTTGTAGGCTGTATTAGAAGTTCATGTAACATTAAGACACTGCAGTCAACGTTTTCTTATTTTCTTAACTGAACATTAGACAATTTATCTTTTTATTCTTGTGACCTATGTAACGAACATCATGACGATTGTGGGAGGCGTCCACACTGTGATTAACTGGTTTCATCAACCACCTTCTAGCTCTGTGACTTAAGCCTCTAATCTATTATTAAGAACCTACCAATGCGTCCCACGAGGTTGTGGCAATGGCAGGCGAGCCCGGGTTAATGTCGCTGGCCACCAGCTTGAGTTTCTTCATTTGTGCCCGTCGGGCGTGGGCCAGGGCCACCACGCAGTCGTTGGTCAGGCAAAAATAGTCGACGCTCAGCGTGACCAGGTGGGTCAGCGACGTGAGACCTGCCGTGAACTGGTCCATCTCGTAGGGTCTCTGGCTGTACCAGGGCATGGTGTAGTAGCCGTCGATGTAGAGATTCTGCAGCGACTCCCTGCACGTCTGGAACACCGTGTTCAACACGTGATACCCCTCTTCAGGCCTCCATTCTGCACATGACATTTGGAACGTCTTCAGTTGGCTTAGCTTCCCGAGCATTCGAGACAGAATTAGCCGAATGCTGGACACTACCGATGGACTAGCATTACCCAAGCGGAGGTCGGCGACCCTGAAGGAGGTGAGAGTCGGGTTTGGTAGACTGATGAGCAGTTTCCGAAAGCAAATTGCCATCAATTTACATGCGTGGTTTTGAGGATGGTCACAAACGATGGCCACTTTTCGTAGATGGTGCCCGAACCTCTGGGCGTAAAAATACGCCCGTTTACTGTTAACAGTCTGTCCGCTGCAACCCAGGCGGAGCAGCTTGCTGCGCCACAGCCGCGGACTGGAGTAAATGAGGTCCCTCCACGTCCTGCAGACACTGGCCAGCCTCAAGCGATCGTTCTTAGTGAGGAAAGTGATAACGTGAAGCAGCACTTCGCAGGGTAGCCGATCCAGGGGAAAGATGCTCACCTCGCCCTGGGACTGGCACGCGTCCATGACGCAAGCATTGGTCAGTGGCATCTCCTCCGCCTGAGACAGGTCAACTCGTCTCAGCCTTGCCATGCTACAGGCCGTAGCAGAAGATGGGGGAAGCAAGACACGGCTTGAGCCGACCCAAATGGAATTCCGCAAACAAACTAATCCTCCGCATGTTCACTTGACGTCAAAATGGTGCAATGAAGTGCAAGACAACTAAAGCACATTGTCTAAAAGTGTGCAGCATTTCGATGCATGGTTGATGCTCAAATAAACAAAACAGACAAAGTGTTTTTTGTTGTTGCTTTTGTTCTAAGTTTAGACATCGTAAACAGTCGAGTGTAAAAGTTTCAACAAGACCGAACAAGTCCATTTAAAATTGCTTTGAATCATTATTATTTTTGTTTGCTGCTATATAAAGAATGGTTTAATTCTTCAGTTTCAAATCAAACATTTGTTGATATTTTATTTTCTATAACACTGTATTCTCAGACTTGTATAAACCTTTCAGTCTTGTGAAAAACTTTCAGTCTTATATAAAACTTTCAGTCTTGTACAAACCTTTCAGTCTTGTATAAACCTTTCAATCTTGTACAAACCTTTGAGTCTTGAATAAATCTTTCAGTCTTGTATAAACCTTTTAGTGTGTATAAACCTTTCAGTCGTGTATAAACCTTTCAGTCTTGTTTAAAGTTTTTAATTTTGTATAAACCTTTCAATCTTGTATAAACCTTTTAGTCTTGAATAAATCTTTCAGTCTTGTATAAACCTTTCAGTCTTGTATAAACCTTTCAGTCTTGTATAAACCTTTCAGTCTTGTATAAACCTTTCAGTCTTGTATAAACCTTTCAGTCTTGTATAAACCTTTCAATCTTGTATAAACCTTTCAGTCTTGTATAAACCTTTCAGTCTTGTATAAACCTTTTAGTCTTGTATAAACCTTTCAGTCTTGTATAAACCTTTTAGTCTTGTATAAACCTTTCAGTCTTGTATAAACCTTTTAGTCTTGTATAAACCTTTTAGTCTTGTATAAACCTTTTAGTCTTGTATAAACCTTTCAGTCTTGTATAAACCTTTTAGTCTTGTATAAACCTTTTAGTCTTGTATAAACCTTTTAGTCTTGTATAAACCTTTCAGTCTTGTATAAACCTTTCAGTCTTGTATAAACCTTTTAGTCTTGTATAAACCTTTCAGTGTGTATAAACCTTTCAGTCTTGTATAAACCTTTCAGTCTTGTACAAACCTTTGAGTCTTGAATAAATCTTTCAGTCTTGTATAAACCTTTCAGTCTTGTATAAACCTTTCAATCTTGTATAAACCTTTTAGTCTTGTATAAACCTTTCAGTCTTGTATAAACCTTTTAGTCTTGTATAAACCTTTCAGTCTTTATAAACCTTTTAGTCTTGTATAAACCTTTCAGTCTTGTATAAATCTTTCAGTCTTGTATAAACCTTTTAGTCTTGTATAAACCTTTTAATCTTGTATAAACCTTTTAGTCTTGTATAAACCTTTCAGTCTTGTATAAACCTTTCAGTCTTGTATAAACCTTTTTGTCTTGTATAAACCTTTCAGTCTTGTATAAACCTTTCAGTCTTGTATAAACCTTTTAGTCTTGTATAAACCTTTTAGTCTTGTATAAACCTTTCAGTCTTGTATAAACCTTTTAGTCTTGTATAAACCTTTTAGTCTTGTATAAATCTTTTAGTCTTGTATAAACCTTTTAGTCTTGTATAAACCTTTCAGTCGTGTATAAACCTTTCAGTCTTGTTTAAAGTTTTTAATTTTGTATAAACCTTTCAATCTTGTATAAACCTTTCAGTCTTGTATAAACCTTTCAGTGTGTATAAACCTTTCAGTCTTGTATGAACCTTTCAGTCTTGTATAAACTTTTCAATCTTGTATAAACCTTTCAGTCTTGTATAAACCTTTCAGTGTGTATAAACCTTTCAGTCTTGTATGAACCTTTCAGTCTTGTATAAACTTTTCAATCTTGTATAAACCTTTCAGACTTGTATAAACCTTTCAGTCTTGTTTGAACCTTTCAGTCTTGTATAAACCTTTTAGTCTTGTATAAACCTTTTAGTCTTGTATAAACCTTTCAGTCTTGTATAAACATTTAAGTCTTGTATGAACCTTTTAGTCTTGTATAAACCTTTCAGTCTTGTATAAACATTTAAGTCTTGTATAAACCTTTCAGTCTTGTATAAACCTTTCAGTCTTGTATAAACCTTTTCAGTCTTGTATAAACCTTTCAGTCGAGGCTAAACAGTTTTACTGTGTGTCGGGGGTGGAGTAGAAGAGTGAGAGCCGGTCTAGTTGGGTGTGAGTGTGTGTGTGTGTGTGTGTGTGTGTGTGTGTGTGTGTGTGTGAGAGAGAGAGTGCAGGGCGGAGAGACACAATGAAATTAGTGGTAATCACCACCAGATCCAGGGATTTCTTCAGAACATTACTGCTAGATGACCTTTCTGTTGGACTGCATCATTTATAAGGGCGGAGACCTGGCTTCTTACTGCTCTGGGAGACAACGAGAGAGATAGAGATAGAGAGAGAGAGAGAGAGAGAGAGAAAGCTGGAGAGAAAGGCACAGAGACGAAGGGAAAAGAGTCCCTGTACTCTGTAGTGTAATACTTTGTGAATGAACATTATTTGCCCCTAAACTCTTTCACCGGCTTATACTTAGAGTTGGAAGGAATATTGCCCCTTTTCCACTAAAGTACCTCTTTACATAATATACCTACTTTTCCTCACCGTATGCAGTGCTATTCCACCGAATGCAGTACTATTTCATCGTAAGCAGTACTATTCCACCGTATGCAGTACTATTACACAGTATGCATGAACAGGACCCGAACTATTTCACCTTATACAGTACTATCCCAACCCCACCCCCCACGTATGTAATATTATTTTCCCGCATGCAGTACTATTCGCCCGTATGTAGTGCTATTCCACCGCATGAAGTACTCTTCGGCCCTTACGCAGTACTATTCCTTCAGAGAGTACTATTGGCACTTAAGAGAGTACACTCACCAGTCGTCCGACGTTGACACCGGAAGTCCTTGTTTCTCCCCGCCATTAAGGAGCCACCTTTATAATTGTATTGATCGCCTTGACAGAAGGCGTAGCTTGACAGAAGGCGTAAACGCTATTTTCGAAATGGGGGGGGGGGGCGGCGCCAGCCCTAGATTTACCTCAATAATTGATGGACCGACCAGGGGCTGAGGGGACTCAATTATTCATGGGCGGCATTCAGGGAAAACATCTTTGTGGAAACTAGTCGAGATCATCACACTCTACTCCGGTCCAAAGCCGCATGTGCTTGCTGCTGATCGCAACACATAAAGCATTAGAGGCTCCTTCAGTGGAGAGGTTTGCTTGGGTTGTGAGGTGTGAGATTTAACATTGGTTGACCCCAGTGGCGCCTAGAAGGTATTGAGACGCTTATCTAGTCTAGTTAAAACATGCAATTAATAGATCAAAATTGCCAGAACGCTCCTGTCACTTCAACCACACGACAAATCCCATGTTACGCCCCTGTCACTTCGACCACACGACAACTTCCATGGTTAACTTTCATTCTCCCCCCCCCCCCCCCCCCCCCCCCCCCCCCCCCCCCCCCCCCCCCCCCCCCCCCCCCCCCCCCCCCCCCCCCCCCCCCCCCCCCCCCCCCCC